CTGAGCTCATGGTCCTCACCACTCTCCCCATCATGTCATGTGGAAGTTGCTCACTGAATTCTCAATGAGGTGTAAATAGCAATAATAGATGTAATACACTGTAGATGGGGCAGCATGGTGGAGCAGTGTGGAGTGCTGCCTCAGTGTGTACTGTGTAGCCAAAGCCTCAAATTGGCAAAATTGCTTGAAAGCTTCATGGATGAGTTCTACTGGATGTTCTCTTTGTCAACTGTGAAGAGTTTACACTGCCTTTTGCCCATTACGGGCTGGAAATTGACACCAGCAGAATCCCTTGACCCTATCCAGGACTAAGTTGGAAAAGAAAATTGATTCTTGGATTTGAGGAAAAATAACAGATTTAATAACTAATTTTCCTTCATTTTATTTTCTTCTAACTACCCTTTTCTTGCTCTTTTGTATTGTGTTCATCTCTTTTACATCCCCCTAATCCTTTCTCCTCTCTCTCTCTTGCAGTTCGTGGACAGAGGAGACACGCTGGTGGATCTTCTCAGATGCTGCTCTGCGCGCAGATCAAGGGACACAGCTTCTGGATGAACAGATCCAGCAGAAGTTTGAGGAGTTCGACAGACTTGTCACTGATGGAAACAAAGTCTCGGGGCACCAGCACCATCTGAGCCATATGGTAGAGAATTCAGACAGAAAATAAAGTTTCTCAAATACAGTTGGAAGGGAGGCCCTGAAGACTTTTATTGTGAAAATGGGAAAAGGGTTAAGACAACAAGGGTACTCCATAAAACTCAAATGAAATTGAAAGCAAGGTTAAAGGCAACGCAAGGAAAGAGTCAACAATGGTGAAAGCTGCGCATTCATCTTCTTTCCCAACTGTTCCCCTTTGGGGGTTAGCTCACTTCAGGCTCATACACTGGACAGTCCAGGGCAACACACACATTCTTGTAAGGGTTATTTTGATTATTCAATTAACCTGACACATGTTTTGGGGGGGAAACCATAGTATCTGGATGAAACCCACATAAGCAAACTCTTCCCAAGAAGGTCACTGGTGAGCCTCAAATCAGTAACCTTCAAACTGGAAGGCCACATTGTTACACACTGCGCCACCGTGTTGCCTAGCTGTAGGACAGGGGTGCTCATTATGTCGATCGCGATCGGAGGTGCTACCGGTCGATCGCGGCGTGAAATTGAAACAATATCAGCCGATCAGCCATCCCGTCACAGTTCAGTAAAGTTAGCTGCAGATTCACAGATTCGGTTTTCTCTGCTCAATAGCTCGAGACCAGAATGTTCTTAGTAAACAAATAATACCTATTTTTAATCTGTGTTATGTAGCGGACAAACTACAAAATGTTTTCTATCAAAACAAGTTTCCCTTGGCATTCGCTGAAACACATTACCGTCTATGAGCAACCCGCTGACATTGAATCCCTTAGGGACCTTCTGCAAATCACCAGCAAAAAAATGTTTTACCCAGAATATGCTTCATAACTTCATTCTAAATTGTTCTATTACAACCAAAATCAAGAAACACGCCACCCCTCACCTGCATATTGTACTGCACGAATCAGTTTCAATAAATATTGAAACATTTATTAGAGCATAATTTTTATTCTTGATTATTTGGATCAAATCTCAATTGCTCCCATAAAAATCACTCTATTACCACCAAATTCAGGTCACACACAACTGTTCTAATGATTCAATTCAGTGCAAGTCATCAAACTAAACTCACGTTATTACAAAAAATGTAAATAATTAATTATTATGTGTGTTTTGTCAATTCTCAATAAAGTTGAAAATAATTGTTTGTTGGTTGATGTTTTACATTTTTGTAGCGGGTAGATCACTTTGACTTGGTCATTTTAAAAGTAGCTCGCAAGCTGAAAAAGTGTGAGCACCCCTGCTGTAGGATGAGTAAATGATTTTAAATCCCAAAATCTAAAGAGTTGTTGCAAGGAGTGATGGGAGATGTAGTCTGTTATTCTCCTGTTGCTCATGGTTGGTTACAGTTATAAAAAATGGTGGACTAATGAATTTAAGTTGTTGCCCTGCAATGAAAAAAAAACATTTTTATTCCTTAACACTCACTTATCTCGTTTATAGCTGTTTTTTGTAATAAAAGAATCTTGTAGTCAACTAAATTGACCAGTGAGCACTTTTCTTTGATGCAGATTGGTGAGCGGCTGGAGGAGCTCAGGAGCATGCTGGGATGGATCCGGCTGCACTGGGGGACTCAAAAAGATCAGTTACTGAACAAACAAAAATCTGAAGAAGCTCAGACGGACAACATTTATTGCGAGGCCAAAGACTGCAGCACACAAATACTGGTACTGCAAAGATCAATATTTCTAATATACATTTCTAAATAACCCTTTCATGCTCTCACTTCAGTTCAAAATATAAGAGAGTAAATATATTTGTTGAAAGTTTACAACATTCACATTGGTTCATATACTCATTCACACAGAGATCAGAATGCAACCTAATCATGAGCAAAAATGTTATTTTCTTTTATTTTCCAAAACTGGCTTATAACTGCAGCTGGACTGGAATTATTATGATGAATTTATGAATAATGTATTCAAAATAAATTATTAGAATAACAAATCCAAAATTTGTTTTTTACAAACATAAACAATGCTCCTAGAAGTGAAACCCTGTGTATAAAGGATTACATTTGAGACCCCAGAAACTAGCAGCATGAAAAATGTCATCTTAAAATTGCACACACCTTTGATAAACAGCTAGCATAAAGTATGCACATAATTAATATATATATCCAACCTGCTTTTTCCCTTATTCCGAGATAGGTCTGCCGGTGCAGATCTCGAGTGCACATCTGGCAAGAGGTTGGGGTACACTCCAACATTCACACCTCAGAGGAATTTATGACTCTCATATAGGATCCTAATCTGTTATTTTAGGCTCTCATATAGGATCCTAATCTGTTATTTTAGGCTCTCATATAGGATCCTAATCTGTTATTTTAGGCTCTCATATAGGATCCTAATCTGTTATTTTAGGCTCTCATATAGGATCCTAATCTGTTATTTTCCAGAATGAAAGCACTACAGCAGTGAGTACAGAACCCCTCTCTCCTGCTCCCCCTGCTGACATGGAGGATGATTCACCTCTCAGTTATGAATATGAGATTATGAAGAGTGTGAGTCCCAAAGGAAGTGATGGACGTGAATCTCCATATCTGACTCTAAAGGAGCCCGTATCTTCATCACCTGGAGGATCAGTCAGCCTCATCCTCAGCTTCAGAAATTCTACAGAAAAGCAAATCCAGGCTCAAGAGCCAAACCAGGGAAATGGTGGATCCCAGTCTGAACCTGTGCACAGGGTGAGAACTAAAACAAAAAAAATATTGAAATGTTTTTCTTTTTCTTTTACATTAAGGAGCTGGTGGAACAATACAAAAAAAAATAAGAACATAGGATGTTTTCATTGTGTTAGAAAAAACACCACCTCAATTTCAATCACCAGCTCCACATCTTGAAACATTTTTTTTCACTTTTCTCACTTTCATCTCTACTTTTTTGCACAATTTCCCTCAGTCTGCTGATGCAAATTCTTCAACCTCTAAAAGCTTTTGGAAACGCTGCCAGGGTCTTTTTGGTAGCTTAAAGCGAAAGAGAAAGGTTAAACTGCAGAATGCGGAAGAGGTAAATATAGAGGTGTTTGTGCACGTGTGCAAATATGAGCATGAGGTTTGAAGTGTGACTAACATTGTGACTTTTGGCGTTACCCTGGTGGCAGAACATAGTCTATACTTCAAAAATGTTGGATAAACTAGGTGTTTCAGATTGTTTTTTGTCCAATAAAAACACAGTGGGAGTAGTTTATTTCAGTAGCAGGAAACACACCACAAATCTAAAAGAATGAACAGAAAAGCAGTTGTGAAAGTTTCATTACACGCATGTAATGAAGAGGTCACCGAGGAAATGGCCACTTCCACTGATCTCATTTTAAGCTTGCAGTGTGTTTGAGAAGTATATGAAGCCTTGTTTCAGACATTCCGCCTGGTTATGAAACTTCTTTTGGGAAAATTTGGAAAGAATTGCAATGAAAATAGAAAGTGTGTGTTTTCTGGAACAGTTTGTGAGGGTTTTAGCAGACAGTAGTCTTAAAGGGATTTGGAGGATCCTCTGGGACCTTTAATTTGCTGTAAGGATCTGTGAAGTTTAAACAATCTTTAATAGTTCCCGAATTGTCAAATGTAGCTTTTTTAAGGCTTGGGATGACTTTGGCATGTGGAAAATTGTCAAACTGCTATCAAATCCTCTCCTGTGTGTTTTTTTTAAATTTGCCAGCATTATATTTTGTTGCTTACACATGAGGCCCCTTTAACCAGGACTGTAACTACGATACTCAAGTAGTGTTTGATTTTATTCACTGTTTACAGAGGCTTCAGGAACTGTTCGTGACAGTTGTAGATCACATTTGCAGTTCAATGTATTTGTTTGATGTTGGATTGAGGATTTAAAATGACAAATTTGGAAATGTTGCTTTATTTAAAAAATTTAGTAATATGTAAACAAAATAAGTGATATGAAAAATATATTTTGCTTAAACTTATCCCTTTTTTCATTCATTTTCCTCTTGCCTCTGCCCTGTGCTCCTGAGGTGGATGATGGAAAATCATGTTTGAGCCCTGACCCATTTCATCAACCTCAGCAACACAAACAACCATTAGAGAAATTTGTCTCCAGCTCAGAACTTCATATCGTATCCACTCTTTTTTTCATGGATGTCTGGGCTCTCCTGAGCTCCAGTGTGGGAATTTTTTCCTACATTAACAGGGTGCTTTCATAGAATCGCTCGTGTTCTCCATAGAGCCTGAGACAATGCTTGGATGAACAATGTTGGAGATCCACTGGGCTGATGTTGAATTCTCATGGAACCAGTCATGCTGATGCTTCAAGCAGACTCAGGAACTTTAGAAGCCATAGTCCATGTTGGCTGCTCTAGTGCCTTTTCATGATATTGGCTCTGACTTCGCTCCACACCAGAGTTCCAGAACTTTCTTGTTGCTCTGTTGGTAGAGCATTGCGCTAACAATGCAAAGGTTTTGGGTTAAAATCCCAGGGAAAGCAAGAACTGACCAATGTATGTGTTCACTTCTTTCAAAATATATGTCGCTTTGGATAAAAGCCACTGGCAAAATGGATAAAATTTCCTTCTCTAGACGCTTCAGTGTTCCAGTATGGCTCTAGCTATAAGCTCCTTGATTTCTGTCTGGACTCTGCTTGGTACAGGACTACAAAATCAAGCCCACCCCTCTAATACCACCTAGCTCTTACCAGAAGCCCTCACGAGATACCACCTAGCTTTTACCAGAAGCCCTCACGAGATACCACCTAGCTCTTACCAGAAGACCGCTCTTTAACTTGCTTGGTTCTGCTTTAGTCACAGCTTTAGTGGGTTGTCACCAGCACTTAATTCCACTTTTCCTGCTATGCAGTGCCACTCTACCGTTTGGTCTCAGAGGACCTCCACACTCACTTCTACGGCTCCTTAGTTAGCACTTGCTTAGGCTCTGTCATGGCCCTCTAGGGTTTCTTGGAACAACAGTCTCTACAAATGTGTCTAAGAACATGTGTCTAAAATGGTGCAAAAAGCAAAAATAGATTGGTACAGAAAGAGCGGTTTTGTTCCTTTCTCTTTGAATTGTACATTGGAGACAGAAGATAAAGAGAGTGATTTTTCGTGTGTAGGTTTCTTCTCAAATTTCAAGTTCATCTACATTACAATCTCAGAAGCTGCAGTCATAAAGAACTCGTCAAAACCACACATTGTGCTCCCTGTTGAAGCCAATACTCATGACAACAGTGGAGTAGAGTAGTGTCACTCCAGCCTTTGGTTGCCATCAGTACTGGCTTCTGAAATGCCTCCCAGCTGAAGTTTGCTGTGAACTTTCTAGAAAGCCATTTAAACTCTCCTGAGTATGTGATTTATGGTCTGGGGCTTCCAGAGCAGACAAGATTAGTCATAGGGTCAGGGGGCAAGCAGTTACAGCTGTGTTTGAAAGCAGATGATTCTTATTAAACTCACTGTAGAAGAAACTCACTCATAGAGTTGTGTAGTTGTTCGTTCGTTGCACATCTAAGCAATAACCATGCTTTTGTAGAACTCATCAGTGGTTCTACAAATGTTAACTACAGATTGCTAAATTGTTGTATAAGGGTGAGGCTTTTAAAATAAAAACTATTGAGAGAAAGGAGAAGCAGGGCCAGTAAAGGACCAGGGTTCCTGGTTAAATTCATGTGTTGGACTCTGTTAGACCTATAGAGACTTGATTGAATTCAAGCTCCCATTTAGCAAGATACTGAACCTCATAAGAAGATACAGTAGAGCTACAGATCCCAGATGGAGTTCAATCAGAGATGTGTATGAACAGATAATAATGTAGCTTAATATCACCAACCAATCACAGATGCATATTTAATAAAAGCTAGTGAAAGTCTTGGCAAAGTAGAAATTGGAAAAATGTCCTTCCATTTTCAAATCCAAAACAAGTTGGTGTAAAATAAATGTCTAAATCGGAAGTTTTTGGGCAATCACTAAAGGCAACATCCTCTTTACTTTATTTGCTATTTAAAATACCCTAATAAATTATTTAGACACGTGATATAAAAATATATAGTCAATTATATAGTCATATAATTGATGACTGTGTTCACTTTAAAACAGCAACCTCTAGTATAAAACTCCTTTTCCTTTAATATCAAACAATGTTTATGTAAATAAACTGGCCACGAGCATATGACAAACTACCATCGCATGACATTTAGAGGTGAGCTCATCATTGATTTGTGATGAACATCATGAGAGAAAGTGAACATAATTTTACTCTCTAAAAAGTGTACCACCTTTGTGTTTTAGGTCAGTGCTTACTTACATGTTACGGAAAACACCATGGTGGTACCCCCAGTTTATGAAATTATGAGTCCATCCAAAGACAATGCCCAGAATTCTTCATCCTCCACTCCAAGGAATTTAACCAATGCCTATGCGTCCCCTCGTACTTCTCCATGCTTTTCATCCTCTCCAGAAGATACCAACCACTCATCAGTTCAATTCCTTCCAAAACGTGCCAACATATCGATATTTAATAGTCTGAAAAGGAGGAGCAAAAAAGTTAACAGGAGCAAGGATGACTGTAGGCATGGTGTTCGGATCAAGTACAAGGAGCACTTGGAGAACACTGTCTTGTCTCCTGTAGATGAATCTGTGATCTATGATACACACACTTGGCCCCTCAAGGAATGGAGAAAGAGCAAAAATGCTCAAAAATCAAATGAGAATGAGAACCAAGTTTTGGATTATTCAAAGAACCAATTAATCAAACATATAGACGCAGAATTTTCTGGATCTCCAGTTAAAAACATTTTAGAGAATCCAACCCAAGTACATGCGAAGAACCACTGCAGATTTTTGTCTTTGGGTTCAGTCTTAAGCTTCGATCTGCCCAAGGATATGAGTCTGATCCCAAGCATTCAAGATGTCATCACAATCGTCCCTCCAGAGCATAAAAATCAAGACTCTTGTGTCCAAGAACCTCAACTCGATCGTCCTAAATCACTGAGCACCTTTAAAATTCCCAGATGTCCACCTCAAATAGAAGAACCCAAAGAATTTACATTTGAAATTAACACTAAAGACCCTCGAATGATCAGCAGTGACTCCATATCATTTACTGGGGATGATTTCCCCCCTCCACCTTCTCCAGTAATTGAAAACATCTCCTTTGAGGAGAAACACCCCTCTTCACTTAACTATCAAGCAGATATCAAGCAGAAACACACTTGTGAGACTGGTATAGTGTCTAAAGTGTCCATAGTGTCTAATCAAAATGACAAATATGAGACACAATACGAAAGTACCCAAGAGGAGGAAAAACAAGGACAAATGAGCAACGTCTCCAGTGTAACAGAGATTCAAGTTTGTCCTAGCATTGATACGCTTCAGAGTTCCTGCACCCAAGAGTCAAGTTTAAACTCTTTATCTAATATTCTTTCAAATTTCCAAGCCAATGCAAGAGAGGATTCAATTGATTCTGGTCACTCCAGTTCTGGAAGCTTCAAATTATGTCCTGAAGATTCAAACATAGACACCCTGGAGAGTCCAAAAGTTTACAATAATCCTTCAGTGAAGGAATTATCATCGATGAATGTTAAAATCTCCAACAGAAGCTTTGAGTTCTCCAGAGACGAGACCCTTAGTTTGTCCCTTGATGTTGATGATCACGTCCATCCTGATCATCAGCAGTTTGAGCAAGAAGAGGAGGAACTGGAGGACATCTGGAGCCAGAATAAAAGCTACCGTCAAAGTTTCAACTCAGACATCATGTATGATAGCTACCAGGCAATGCTAATCAACTCTTCTCCACATCACCAGAGGGAGAACTCACCCAAAGAGCAAAACACTCTCTTCAAAACGATGATCACAGCCTCTGCACCCAACCTTCATGTGGCGGAGTTTAACCTGCCCCCATCTGTACAGCCAACAGTGGGATTTGGGAAGAGAGTAGATGAGCAGAATTTAGGTAAAGAGGATGGGAAGATATGGTCAGCGTTCACTCTGCAGGACCAGAGTCATAGAGAGAAGGCCAATAATGAAACAGTTTCAGGTTTGTTGAAACTGCCTGAGATACAGGACCAGGAAAAGTACATCTATCAGTACGGAGAGACGGAAGATGAAGAGGAGGAAGATGGGTTTGTGAAGGTGAGGAATATGGGATTAATTACGCTTTATTTCCAAACTGGTTATGTTGACTGTTCTAATGCTACTATATTGAAAAGGTCTGGTTTCATATAAAACCAGGTCCAGCTGTAATATTCATAGATGAGTTCTTGTTAATTGTTGAAAAGATTTTAAAGAGCGTTTTCATCAGCTCTCAGGATCCGAGTGTATGCACCAATACTTATAGACTTTCCACTCTGCAAATGGTCCCACCACCTTCCATGAACCTTCACTTTTTTTCCTGTTTTATGTCTATATGTGCTTGGTTGCAATGGCTTTTTTTGAACCTGCTCCACACTGCCCTCTGAAGGACAGTGCAGAATAGGCTCTTTTTGAGCTACCTTACCCTATGTATACCCATTTCTCTGTTTCTTTCTTGAATGCTACCTCACAACATTGGCCTATCATCACCTTGTCTGTGTTTGTAGCCAGAGGGGTCTCAATTTCACTGCATGTAACAAGTGTATTTGACAAATAAAGGCTACTTACTTAGATGACTGGAGTTTAGATATGAAGTCAAAGGTTCAAGCATTCATAAAGGAGCCTATACATTTGGATTCCGCTTTTCATCACCTTTGCTTTGGCAGGAACAGAATGAATGTGAAAAACCCCTGACATTAGTCAAGTCAAATGTTTTTATATAGCACTTTTATGCAGAAAAACATCTTCACAGAAGGATGAGCCTAATATAGATTAGTTGTTTTGTGGAAAAGAAACATTTAGGGGTTTAAAAATTATAGTGTTTTTTTACAGTCATTTAAATCCAGCTGGAACGTATTAGACTGTTTAATGAGCCTAGTGCACTTGTTTTAGACGTGTGAGAAACTGGAGCTCCCGGAGGAAAAACCCACACTAGCAATTCCAATTAACTTGGGGAACTACATAGGGAAGTTACCTGCTACTACACCCAAAGAGGCGTGGCCAATGTGGCATTTTCCTCACAGAGAGAAACCAGGTAAAGCTAGGGCTACTCGCTTCATCTCTGTGGGCCTGCGTAATTATGGATCCCCGACAAGCTCATCCCCCGCTATAACCTGGAAAACAGAAAAAGTTACACAAAAAATAAAAATAATATAAACAGAAGCCAGTTTCTTGAGCAAGAAGAACTCTGACCATTATTATTAACCTATCTAAAAAATACATTTTAAGTGCACTGATGGACACTCCCTTTGAACAGGACCAGTCCATGTGTCTTCTGTCTGTTCAGCCGGGGCTGGAGGACACTAGAGACACTGAAATACAGGTAAAAATTACTGCAGACCCTACTACGAGTTTACCAACAAAATGTGAAACTTGTAACCTTCCATTTCTAGAACAGAGGACAAGACGTGGCGCTGCCATCTATGGAAGG